CAAAAACACGACGGCGCTTGATCTCCGAGCTTAATTAGAGAGGCGCTGCTTAATTGTTCATTTTCCAGATCGAGCTGCAGCCTCCTGGTGAGCTCATCACCGCTCGGCTTTGATTGGAGCCGCAGCTGCTGGGAGGTTTAACTGGGGGAGAAAAGGACTGCTGAGCAAAACTTATGACTGATCAGTGGCTTCATCTTCATTTTTATACTCAGACAAAACCGCACAACACTCTCAGTTCCTCAGTTCCTCGTCTCTGTTTAAACCAAACCTAAAGCGGGGGCCATGATGGGGCCCCATCCATCACTATTCTCCCCTGGGTTCACCTGTGGGGTCGGTTCAGTCACTGATCAACACGTTCGCAGTGATTTAATGAATTTAGCGTTAATCAGGAAAAAAATGAAAATAATAATTTTCATGGCGGTCTGGGAGCGGCCATTTTTGCCCAATTATAGTAACCAGACGCATCAAGTAACAAAGTACAAATACTTTGTTACTGTACTTAACTACAGTTTTTAGGTATCTATACTTTACTCCATTAATTATTTTTCCTCCTACTTCTACTCATTACATTTTCACAGTATCTCTACTTTCTATTCCTTTCATTTTTAAAACAAACGTTACTCGTTCTTGGCTTCGGTTTAATGCAGAGGTCACGGATTAGCGGACCGCGGTCCAGATCCACCTACTGGCTAATCCGGACCCAACCTGATTTAAAACATTTATAAATTACTGCATGTTGTCTGACGACAGTGTCTAACCTCACTTGTGCCGCTTCTCCTGTTACCCAGAAATCCCTCATCCTCCATCACCGCTCCGCTCCGCCCCCTCAGCGCTCCGCCCCGCAGCATCCAGACCTCCTGGTCAAAGCAAAGCCTCCAGCCTCCGCTGTTCCTCCTTTATCGCTGCGCTCCAACTGATCCTCGGAGCTCGAGGAGAGCATGCTCCATATTATCATTAAAATAATAGGAGCAAAACATGCAGAAATGAACGCTTAATTAATCTGACAGATTAAATAATCCCCATCAGCATCCAGCAGATGTTCAGTTTCTGATGGAGA